GAGGAAAAACCAAATGGAAAATTTCCCTAGCTTCTGGCTAGTGGAAGAAATCCATAGTGGCCCTCATTGAATCTTTGGGCAGAAAACAGTCTGTAAAAACAAAACCAGAAATTGTTAGAGAAAGCCAGCAGGTCTGGCAGCATCTGTAAAGAGAAAGCAGAGTTAATGTTTTGAGTCCAGTGACCCTTCTTCAAAGGCAGCAAGTAGTGTTAGCTTAGAAAGTTGTATGAAAGCACTTGGATATCAGTCTGCAACCCGAATGAGGAGCTGAACATTCACAGTCGTGAGGTCACTAAAGGAAATGTTTGAGGGTTGAGTATCAAAAACTGATGGGAAAACCCAATAGAATCATACCTTGAAGGATTAGCTGGAATATGAAGGACAATTAAAGCAAATTTTGAGATCTATGGCTGAATTTTTGAGTTGGTCCCAGGAAAGATGAATGAATCATCAAGATCTTTTGTGAAGCAAAAACTAGAACTGAATTCATGCTGAGTGGATGGCAGCGGTTAGCACTGCTGCCTCACAACACCAGGGACCTGCACTGGATTTTAGCCTTGGGTCTCTGTGTGTGGTGTGTGTATGGGGGCGTGTGTGTGCGTGCACATGCATGCATGCATGCATGCATGCACATCTATCCGTCCATCCTCAGGGTGCTCTGGTTCCTTCCCACAGTCCAAAGATGTGCGTATTAGGTGGTTTGGCCATGCTACATTGCTCCGTTTTGTCCAGGGATGTGCAATGTGCAGATTAGGTGGGTTAGCCATGGCAAATGTGGGGTAGCGGGGATACATTGGTGGTGTAGGTCTAGGTGGGATGCTGTTTGGAAGGTTGGTGAGGACTTGATGGTCCACATGGCCTCCTGCACTATGGGAATTCTATGATTCATAGCATAAATTTTTTAAAGTTATAATGTTAAGTTAGTGGTGATTACTTTATTTCTTTTTCTTTATATATACAATAAAGTTTTAGTTCTGAAAAACCTGAAATATTTGGGCCTAATTCTTTTGGTTAGCTGATGAGTAATTGGATTTCTACTTTAAACATTAATGGTCCCTAAGAGGATCATAACAATACACTAATGGTTTATTTCTCCATTATAAATAAGAGACTTGGCCATCCTGCAGTTCCTGTGTCTCTGAAGTTTGTCTGATTACGTCTTTTCACATTTCCTAGATATCCATTCAAAGTTATTTTGAGTCATAGAGTCATAAAGCACAAAACAGACCCTTCGGTACAACCAGTCCATGCTAAACATAATCCCAAGATATACTAGTCCCACCTGCCTGCTCATGGCCCAAATCCCTCCAAACCTTTCCTATTTATGTACTTATCCAAATGCCTTTTAAACATTTGTAATTGTACCCACATCCACCACTTCCTCATGAAGTTCATTCCACACATGAATCACCTTCTGTGTAAAAAAAATGCCCCACATGTCTTTTTTAAATCTTTCTCCTCTCACCTTAAAAATGTGCCTCCTACTCTTGAAATCCCTCATCCTGGGGAAAAGACAATTACCATTAACTCTGTTTATACCCCTCATTATTTTATTCTATAAGGTCACCTCTCAACTTCCTATGCTCCAGTGAGCTTTGAGGTTGTGGTCGATTTTTTTCAAAATTGTTCTATTGTTAGTTTCCTATGTTGGCAGATGGGCTTTTATGTAACTATGAAGCTCGGAAATTCTTTAGAGGGCAGGACTGCAGAGACAGCGGACCTTGTGGAAGAAGCCTGATTATTGTCAATAATACATGAAACTCCCCTGAAGCATTTGTGGATGTTGGCCCAGATTGTGTGTTAGGAGTATAGTGAGGCCAACACTGCTCATCCTGATCACAAATCAGATGATGTAACAATTTGTGCTGTTAAATCTGGAAATACAGTTGCAATAAATAATACCTCGTTCCTTGGCAAGGCACACTCATTATTAAACTTGACACTGAAATCAGTAGAATGGCTGAGTTCTCAGAGCTGAGTTCTGAGGAAGGGTCACCAGACCCGAAACGTTAACTCTGTTTTCTCCTTTACAGATGCTGCCAGACCTGCCGAGCTTTTCCAGCAACTTTGTTTTTTTTCAATAGAATGGCAGTTTTTTCCCTTTTCACAAACACCAGGAAAGGCTCGTGTTGGCCTGTTCAGTAGTAAGTGAATTTTCAATGACATGGGGAGATTTGCCAGAGCCACTCGGGAAGTGGGGTGGCATCCAAAGCAGTAGGGAGACAAAAGAGATGGTTGAAGACAGTGCAGAAGTTAATGAAAATAAGTTAAATAGTAAAGGCAGCGTTGATAATCCTAGTACTAGATAGGGCAGGCAAGAGCATGGCAGGAAGCAATTGAAGTCTGGGTTAAACTGCATTTGTTTTAATGCAAGAGGTCTTAAAAGTAAGGCAAATGAACTCGGGGCAAGGATGCATACATAGGACTGGGATGCTGTAGCTATTACAGAAACATGGCTGAGGGAGGGACAAGACTGGCAGCTCAATGTTCCGGGGTACAGATGTTATAGGAAGGATAGAAGGGGAGGCAAGAGAGGAGGGAGAGTTGTGTTTTTTGATTAAGGAGAACACAGAAGTACTGAGATAAGAGGATTCTTGAGGGTTCATTCGCTGAATCGATATGTAGAACTGAGAAATAAATCAAGGGAGATCATTTTGAAAGCATTGTCCTATAGGCCCCCCAATAGTCAGCAGGAGATTGAGGAGCAAATATGTAAGAAGATCGCAGATAGCTGCGAGAATAGGAGCATTGCAATAGTAGGGGATTTTAACATTCCTAACATTGACTGAGACTGCTATAGTGTTAACAGCTTAAATGGAGAGAAATTTGTCGTGTGTGTTCAGGAAGGCTTTCTCATGCATTATATAGATGGCCTTACTAGGGAAGGGGGCAAAACTTTACTTCTTCTTGGGAAATAAGTCAGGGCAAGTGACTGTAGTGTTAGTGTGGGGAGCACTTTGGGACCAGTGATCATAATTCCATTAGTTTTAAAATAGCTAGGTTTAGTCCAAATTAAAGTTAAAGTTCTGTATTGGTGCAAGGCCAATTTTGGTGGTCTTGGACAGAAACTTTGAAAAGTTGATTGGGGGAGGCTGTTTGAGGGCAAAGGGATGTCTGGTAAGTGGGAGGCTCTCAAAAGTGCACTAATAAGGATTCAAGGCTAGCATGTTCCTGTTAGAGTGAATGGCAAGGCTGGCAGGAATAGGGAACCCTGGGTAACTGGAGTTGTTGAGGCCTTGACCTGTCCGTCCTCCCTGGACTGACCTATCCCCTTCCTAACTCCCTACCTACACTCACCTTTCCTGGCCCCATCCCCGCCTCTTCGACCTGTTTGTTTCCTCTCCACCTATCCTCTCCTCTATCCCTCTTCTATCCGCCTCCCACTCTCTCCCTATTTATTTCAAAACCCCCTTCCCCTCCCCCTTTTCTGATGAAGGGTCTAGGCCCGAAACGTCAGCCTCTCTGCTCCTATGATGCTGCTTGGCCTGCTGTGTTCATCCAGCCCTGCACCTTGTTGTCTGGAGTTGTTGAGGCCCTGGTCTTGAAAAAGGAGGCGTATGACATGTATAGGCAACTGGGATCAAATGAGTTCCTTGTCTTATTGCATAATACTAGATGTAAAACAGCTTTAACCACAATTGATTTCACAATGTATTGTTCCAGGAGACAGTCACAAAATACAGTACAAACTCATTTTGGACCAAATTCACTAATTTGATGTATCCAGTCTGTACGAAGATTGAAGTCCCCAATAATTATGTAGTTCCTTTATTACAAGCTACAATAATTTCTCGTTTGAAGCTCAGAACAATGATATTATTGCTACTGTTGTCCATAATGATTTCTGCCAACTATTTCTAACGCTTGCTATTCAAAAATCTCTATTACTATTGATGTTACTTTCTGAGCTCTGAGCCAAAATCTTGTCTCTCTCTCTCTCTAGTACTCTTGTGTCATCCTTTACCGTCCAGCTTGCACCACATCCCCCCGTCCCGCCCCAACCCCCGATCCCTAGTCTGCCTGTATTTTCAAAATGTTGTGTCCCTTAGAATGCTCATTTCCCAACTTTGGTCACCTTGTAACCATATCCTTTAATGGTAATTAGATCTAAACCAATTATGCCACTAATTAATCTATGTTATTGAAGGTGCTTCAAGCATTTAGGGAAAGAACCTTGAATTTTGATTTTTGCTACTGTTCTCTGCATGGATCTTATTTGCTGCATAATTACTATTCAGCTCTCTGTCCTTTCCCTATTCCACTCCTTTACTCACATCCGAAACTGTTCCATTAGGTTAACTGTTCTCTTTTGATTTTTAAATGTTGCTTGATCTCATGTGATCCAGTACTGTTAGTTTTAAGGCTTATCGTGCCCCTTGGTATGCAATTTCTCGAATATTGACATGATGTTAATACTCAGTTTAATTGGTATTCATCCCAATGAAACAGCTCCCTCATTGTAGAGTGTTGGTACCAGCACTCATGAATTGAAACTCTGTCTTCCTATACCACTGTTTTCCTCCTTGACCTGATGACAGTTGGTGCATCACTCATGTAACAATCAAAGAAATGGTTACCTTTGTGGTTCAACGTTTTATTTTGAACTGGAACTCACTTAGCCAAATATCATTCCTAGTTTACCTACATTCTGTTTTTTCCTTCATGAACTATGATGACTGGATTCTCCTCCTCCCACTTCAAGCTCATTCCCTTCTGTGATGAGCTATCCTTAACCCTGGCTCTGGAAAGGCACAATGACCTTATAAGGCCTTGGTTGTGGCTGCAAAGAACAGTATCTATCCCTCAGTCAGACTCTCCTCTAATAATGCCATTTAGCTATTGGTGTTCAAAAGAAAAAGTTGAATTAATTTGTGACACTAAGAATGCTATACACAGTATTTCCATACGCAGTATATTTTTTGCAAACAATGTCACTATATATGAAATGTTAATTTTGTTTAAATTGACCTACATTAAGAGTTCTTTTCTTTTTATTTCAGCACTCTCAAATTGGTTTTATTATGTGACCATGCATATGCCAGCATCTACTTTTACCATTGCAGTTGGATACTGGGTTGAAGTTATAGCTGAATGCAGCTTTAGATCCCAGATACTTAATTCATCATCTTCAACCTCAGACTATACAAATAAAAGCAGGTTTGCATTATGTTTCTTTAAATTAAAGTACACCTCAGAACTCTGTAATAGAATTATGTAGTAAACTTTCTGATAATGATTCAGCTGTTGTTCAGGTATAAACCTATTAATGAATGCATATTGGATGGGGTGGAGGTCAAGTTGGTTGCTTTCTACTGAGTGGTAGTGAACCTCTTGGGTATTACTAGAGCTGCACACATCCAAGTAAGTGGAGAGGCAAACCCCCATCCCTGTTAACCATGCAGAGTCCTCCTTACTAACATCTGTGGGAGGTTGTGCCAAAATTGAGAGAGCTGTCTCACAGACTAGTTGAGCAAAAGTTTAGCTATGCAATAGCTTAGTAAACATACGCTCAAGCAATCATACCTCACGTGAAATGTCCAGGCACCACCATAATCATCCCTATTTCCTTGGCAGGATAGATCCACCAGAGATGATGGTACACTGGTATAGTTGGAAGGTAGTTGCATTGGGAGTCCTCAACATTGATTCTGGACTGCAACATAGTCAAACACGGGCAAAGAAGCATCCTAATGATTATCATCTACACTCCCCCTTTGGCTGATGAATTAGTACTCGTTCATGTTGAATACCACTTGGAAAAAACACAAGCACAGAATATACTTTGAATAGCAATTTTAATGACTGTCACCAAGGGTGTAGCACCAGAACTGACTCAGCTGGCCAAGTCCTAAATGACATAGCTGCTCGATTAGGTCTAGAGGGGAAAACCTACTTGACTCTTATCTGTTACAGCTGCATTCATCCATGACTATTGGTAGAAATGACCACTGCATAATCTTTGTGGAGATAAAGTTCAATCTTCATTTTGAGGATGCTGTCCACCATGTTGAGCGCCATTAATGGCTCAGACTTTGCACAGATCTAGGAACTCAATTGGGCATCCTTGAGCTGCTATGGGTTATTAGTAACAGCAGAATTTTCTTCAAACACAGACAATAACCTTATGAGACAACAAGGTGCAGGGCTGGATGAACACAGCAGGCCAAGCAGCATCATAGGAGCAGAGAGGCTGACGTTTCGGGCCTAGACCCTGATGCTGCTTGGCCTGCTGTGTTCATCCAGCCCTGCATCTTGTTGTCTCGGATTCTCCAGCATCTGCAGTTCCTACTATCTCCAATAGCCTTATGACCTGGCATATACCTCACTCTACCATTACTATCAACTCTGATTCAATAAAGAATGCAGGATGGCATGCCAGTAGCAGCACTGCACTTACCTAAAAAGGTGTCAATCTGGTGATGATGCAACAGAGGACTGTCTGCATAGCTAACAGTATAAGCCATAAGGATTAGTAGGTGCTGAGTGATCCGACAACCAACAAATCAGATTTAAGCTCTGTAGTCCTCCCACATTCAGTCGTGAATTTTTGTGGACAACTAAACAACTTACTGTAGTAAAGGCTTCACAAATATTGCCATCCACAACATATTAGCACAACTGAGTCACCTAATTCATTTACATCTAAAAACAGAAATTGCTGGAAAAGCTCAGCAGGTCTGGCAGCATTTGTTAACGTTTTGTGTCCAGTGACCCTTCCTCAGAACTGAAAAGGAAGGTGCCATGGGGCTGTGAGGGATGTTGGGATTGAAGAAGGAGTGGACCAGGAAATTGTTTTTTTGTGTTGAAGGTACAGTTGGGGGAGGGGTAAGGAGTAAATGATAGGTGGAGACAGAGCCCAAAGAGAGAGAAGAACAGTTGGATAGACAAAGGAGTGGGTAATGATTGGCCAGGGAGAATGAATAGCTACTAATGGGGACAATTAGTAGCTAACATTGATTGTGTGTATTGGGTGTGATAACGTTGCCTGATGTGTGGGGGTTGGAGTAAGGACATGGAAGAAGGTGCCTCAAGCCCTCAAACTGTTGAGGTCGATGTTGAGTCCAGAAGGCTGTAGAGCTTCCAAGTGGAAAATGAGGTGCTGTTCTTCCAACCTGCACTGAGCTGCGCTGGAACACTACAGCAAGCCTGAGTCAGAGATGTTGGCCAGGGAACAAGGTGATTGATGTGTTGAAGTGGCAGGCAACTGGAAGCTCAGTCTTTTTTGCAGACTGAACATAAGTGTTCTGTGAAGTGGTCACCCAGTCTCTGCTTCATTTCCCTAAAGTAGAAGAGACCACATTGTGAGCAGCAAATGTAGTAGACTAGATTGTGTGAAGTGCATGTAAAGGTGTGTTTGGGCCCTTGGATACTGAGGGAGGAAGGAAGTAAATGAGCAGGTGTTAGCTTTCTGTTATTGCAGGGGAACGTGCCATGGGACTGTGGGGGGATGTTAGAAGTGAAGGAGGAGTGGGATAGTCCTTATGGAAGGTTGACAGGGGAAGAAAATGTGTGTCTGATGGTGGCATCCCACTGAAAGTGGCAGAAATGACAGCTAATGATCCTCTGAATTTGGATGCTGGTGGGATGGTAGGTAAGGACAAGGGGAACCCTGTCACTGTTGTTGGATGGAAGAGAGGGGATGAGGGCTGAAGTGCAGGAGACAGGTCAGACAGGCAGAGGAACTGTCAACTACAGTGTTGGGGAATCCTCAGTTGAGGAAGAAGGTGGATATTTTGGAGGCCCCCTTATCTCTCAACTTTACAGCCTTTTGGACTATCTTCTGCTTGAAAAAAAAACAATTTTTGCCTAGCTACCATCAGTTCTGAGGAAGGGTCACTGGACTGGAAACACTAACTCTCATTTCCCTCCACAGATGCTGCCAGACCTGTTAAGCTTTTCCAGCAATTTTTGTATTTGTTTCTGATTTCCAGTATCTGCAGTTATTTCGGTTTTCATTTACATTCACCTCCATCCAGAAGTGCTGAGCAAATGATTTGCCAGCATCACAGATGGCCGTCTTCAGCTAATTCAATTCACTCCACGTGATATCAAGAAACAGCTGAAGGCACTGGAGGCTGAAAACACTGAGGCCCCTCACAAAGTTCAGGCATTGGTAGTCTTGAAGACATGTCAAAAGAACTAGCCCTTCGCAAGCTGTTCAAGTATAGCGACAAAACTGGCATGTACTGAACAATGTGGAAAATTACCCAGTCATGCCCTGTCCACAAAAGCAGGGCGAATCCAAAATAGCCAATTACCAGCTTTCAGTCTACTCTAAATCATCACGAACGTGGAATGCACTGCAGGGGATGTAGTAGGCTGGAAACCTCACAACCTTTAAAAAGTACTTGAATCAGCATTTGAAATTTAAAATTCAAAGCTATGGGTGAAGTGCTGAAAAGTGAGATTAGTGTAGTGAGATTGGTTTTTGTCTGTGCAGATTTGACAGGCTGAAAGGCCTTTTCTGTACTGTATGATTCTGAGATAGTAGCGGTTGTCAACACTGGTTTCAAGCAGCAGTTGCGAAGGAATAACCTGCTCAATGACACTCACCACGGGTTCGTCCAGCGTTATTTAGCTCCTGACCTTTTGTTCATGTTTGGCCTTTATCCAACATGAACAAAAGAGCTGAACGTCAGAGGTAAGGTAAGATTGACTGTCCTTGATATCTGACAACGTCCTTAATGTTTAACAGAGAATGGCATAGTCCCAGCAAAACTGGGGTTCGGGGAAAACCCATCACCCAGTAGGATCTAGCACAAAGGAAGATGGTTGTGGTTGTTGGAGGTTAATCATTTCAGGTTATCAATGTAGCGTTTCCCTATGTGGTGTCCAAGATACACCAACTTCACCTGCTTCCTCAAATTACCTGCCCTCCATCATGAGGTAAGAGGTGGAGATGTTTGCTGATAATTACACAATTCAGCAGCAATTCAGCGCTATTTGCTGTTCCTCATACTGAAGCAGTCCGGATCCATATGCAGCAAGAACTGGACAACTTGCAGCTGATACGTGGCAAGTAATATTTCTGGCATACAAATTCCAACCAATGACCAGCTGCAATCAGAGAGAATCTAGCCATTGCTTCTTGATGTTTAATAGCAGTACATTACTGAAACCCCCACAGCCAACATCCTGGAGGCCGTTGACTAGAAGCTGAACTGGACTGTTGTTGCTACAAGAGCCGGTCAGAAGCTAGGAATCCTCACCACCTGACTGTCCACAATCCACAAAGCACAAATCAAGAACATGATGGAATACTCCTCACTTGCCTGGATGGGTGTAGCTCCAACAATACACAAGAAGTTTCGCACCATCCAGGGCAAAGCATCTGCTTGCTTGAACCCCATTCACCACCTTCCACATTCACACTCTTCAGCACTGATGCATGCTGTCAGGATGCAATACAGTAACTCACCAAACCTTCTCCCTTGGCACCTTCCAATCCACGACATCTTTCACCTAGAGATGAGGCGAGAGTGACAGCCCTTGACTCCAAGGCTGCATTCGACCGAGTGTGGCATCAAAGAGCCCCTGCAAAGCTGGAATTAATTTTCTGCTTGTTGGAGTCATAACCTCACTCATAAGAAAATGGTTGTGGTTGTTGGAGGTCAGTCATCTCAGCTCCAGGACATCTCTGCAGAAGTTCCTCAGGTAGTGCCTTGGCCTCCGCTGCTTCATCAATGACCTTCCCTTCACCATAAGGTCAGAAGTGGGGATGTTTGCCAACAATTGCACAATCTTCAGCACCATTTATGACACCTCAGATACTGAAGCAGTCCATGTTCAGTCTTGGGCTGACAAGTGGCAAGTAACATTCGTGCTACACAAATGCCAGTTTATGACCATTTCCAACAGGAGACAAGCTAATTACTGCTCTTTGACTTTCAATGATGTTACCATAACTGAATCCCCACTGTCAACATCTTTGGGGATTACCATTGCCCAGAAACTCAAGTGGACTTGCCACATGAAGAGTGACTGCAAGAGCAGGTCAGATGCTAGGAATATTGTGGCAAGTAAGTCACAGATTGACTCCCTTTGTGCCCACCGTCTACAAGGCACAAGTCAGGAGTGTGATGAAATACTCCTCACTTGCCTGGATGAGTGCACCTCCAACAACATTCAAGAAGCTTGTCACTGTTTTGGACAAAGCTGGCTGCTTGATTGGCACCACATCAATAAGCACCCACTCTTTCCACCATTGATGCTCTGTAGCCGCATTGTATAATATCTAAAAGATACACTGCAGAATTTCACCAAAGATCCTTAGACAGCACCTTGCAAACCCATGACCACTTCCATCTAGAAGGACAAAGGCAGTAGATACATGGGAACATCACCAACTGCAAGTTCCTCTCTAAGCCACTCACCATCCGGACTTGAAAAAATGTTGCCGTTACTTCACTGTTGCTGGGTCAAAATCTGAAATTCCCTCACTGAGGGCATTGTAGGTCAACCAACAGCACATGGACTGTGGCATCTCACCACCACCTTCTCAAGGGCAACTAGTGATAGGCAATGAATGCTAGTCAATCAGCAATGCCCACGTCTGACAAGTAAAAAAAAAAATAAGGACAGGGATAGCAGATTGGTGGAGCATCCCAGCTGCAAAATCCCCTCCAAGTTGCCCAACATCCTAACTTGGAAATATATCACTGGTTTTTCACTGTTTCTCAATCAGAATTCTGGAACTCCTTCCCAAACAGCACTACAAACAAAGAACAGTACAGCATCGGAACAAATCCTTCGGCCCACAGAACCTGTGCTGACACATGGCCCCTTTCTAAACTAAAAACCTTTTACCTCTATGCGATCTGTATTCCTTGGTTTCCTGTCTATTCATATATGTCTCAAAATGCCTCTTGAATATTGCTATTTGTCTGTTTCTACCAGTTCCCCTGGCTGTGCATTTCAGAAACTAACCATTCTGTGTGGAAAAAAAAACTTGCTGC